TGATCCAGTAGAGGGTGCTCTCCGGGTGTCTAAGTAGACTGCGGAGGTACCTGCTGACCCGTCCACGCTGGGCATCTGCGAAAAAAAACTTCGTAGCTCATCGGATTCATCCCGCAGTCTAAATAAAGATTCCGATTCTGATGGATGGGAGGACTGCACGCATTAGGCCAGCGTGTGTACACGCGCGTGGCCCCGTAAAAAAAAAATACACGGCGGTTTACGAAATCGCGAGATATTGTGTTAACCAGCAGACGGGCGGGGGAGGGGGGTCACACGATGCCTCGATATTTTATAGTGCGGGAAGAAACAAAACTCACAAGGAAGGTTTGAGACGTGAGGATAGGTTGAATAAGCAGTGCTGTTGCTAACCTTTGCCACCAGAGCCTTTCCACACACCTACAACCAACGGCTTTTTAGGTGTGATCATTAACCATTTCATTTATACCCATGACCACTAAAAACTCGAAGAGTTATAAGCAAACGCAGAGTTATAAGCAAACGCAATCACTGCGTGTTCGGGTTGTATCGCTCGGGCTGTATGGCTGGTGCTGGGAGCTTCCTCGGAAGAATTCAGTTCCATTCGGTTCCTTCGATTCCTGAAGAAGCTCTCGGCAGCACGTGGAGCGAAACATCGGGCATCGTGCAGATCGACGCGCGCGGTGTCACCCGCAAACGCGTCGGAGAGCCGTTCTGGTGCAACCGCGAAAAAACCAACACGCTAAGTAAGACAAACGCTAAAAGGGTTATTTTATGTTACTCAATAACTACAATTAGGTAACTATTCTCATGAGTATTTAAACAAAAAAATTGGTCATCAGGACCCATCGCGTAAAAAGTTCAGTCTCCAACCCTCATTAACTCTGTCTCTGGCCTCTCAATTTAAGTGCAACGAACAACAGGGGCCATTTAACCCCAAACGTCATCCACTCTCTCTATATTTGTTTACTTTATTTTAAGACCACACACGGCGTTATTTACGAATGTGCAGGGTCTCAGTACGAACCCCTCCCCCCCCCCACACATTACACGCAGGGGGGTTTTCTTTGGCGCACGACCATTCCTCCCCATCGGGTAAATGTTCCTCAAGACTCATCATTGACTGCATCCCAGGTATGGAAATTCCAAAGCCTGTTTATTTCCCCCTCGAAGCGTGTGCATATAAATATATAAATATCACACCTGCAGCGCTTAAAAAAACCAGTCTGTCATTTCCAAAAAAAATACAGATTAAAAATGTGTTTTTGAGACTTCATCACGTATCCTTGTCATCGTTGTGTGATTGGCCCAGTGGTTAAATGGCGGTTGGTGGGGTAATAAGAAATAAAAACAAAAAACTCCATTGTTTGTTCAGATTACTTTCATAAGCCACAGAAAGCTCCAGTGGATTAAAAACCAGTTTCCCCAGTGACGGGATGAAAAAAGGCAAGAAATAAAAGCAATTACATTCCTCGGTTTATATATTATCCAACTTGCCACCAAAATGGGTCTCGCTTTCACCGACAGGAAACTACAGAGAGTAGCTCACAAAGTCTCCACCTACACTTCTCGGCACCCTACAGTCGGTCTTGCCCTCTCTGGATGTTAGTGGCATGGCCTCCGTCGGATTAAGGCCCCCCCCTCTCCCCTGCCTGCCCCCCTGCCTCCCCCCCCCACTCCCACCCTCCCCCCCAACCATGCCGTCACCGACCTTCGCAGTGCCGCGTTGCCACAGTCCAATTCGGCGAAGGTTGTCCTCTCTGGCGCGTTCCTTCTCTCCTGTGGCTGCCGTTCAGTCTTTTCTAACAGTAACGGCATTTTTATTTTACCAGGTAAGGCCCATTGAAGCAATATAGCTCTTTTTGTAGAAGCGACCTGGCCACAAATGACAGCTCCACTAAGTGGCTTTATCCCGTGGAAGTTTACAGCAGCCAAATATACTCGAATCGCACGTTAGATTGCGAATGCGGAGGGAAAAACTGGATGACCCGGAGGAAGAACCCAAGTGACCACGGGGAGCACACTCTAAACGTACAGGCGTCAAGGGTCGGGATCGAACCCACGACCTGTACACCAGGTGAGGCAGTTAACATCTCGCCACCGTGGCGCACTCACAGTCACGGGTCTCATCCAACGGCGCCTTCTGGAGATGTCCTGCCCAAGCCTGCTTAGCTTTTTACAAGTCTTTATGAAGTCACTAATTGGTGTTGTTGAATGTGATCCACGTTTTCCTTTCTGTCTCTCCAGGGTAATTCCCAACGTGCACATCTCCACGACTATCTGGCACGCTTCAGCTTTTGTTAAATTTTGCCCGTCAAGAGTCCGTGCGTCCAATCTGCGGTATACATTTAAAAGCAAACCCATCTCAAGTTCAACAACATACCTTCAACATAACGTATAAGCCATTCAAATACACGGGAGATGACAATCATTGCACTGCACGGCCTTTGCGTGCCGAGCCAAAATGAGACAGCTGGGCGCAAAAGACGGACGAGCGGCTACGCGGGCACAAAGCTAAAAAACGACATGCGGTGGTAAGGGAAGAAACAGCCATATAGATGAGCCTGACAGATGCGTTCATAGAGATGGATACGCAGGGAAGTCTAGCGAGCTAGATGTGGGTAGATTAAATAATTAGATGACATCCCCACCTGCCTCCGGCTTCAACCAATTTGAGGGGGGGGGGCAGGGGCGGTCACAGCGGAGCCTGTCTCAGTGGCCCGCGACCGCTCCGCGAATTGTGTCAGATGGATCCTGCCAGCCGGCAGAGTTTTTTCCGATAATAAGCGGTAGAACGGCGGTGGGGGGGGGGGGGATGAGGGAAGGGCCGCACTCGGGATGTGATCTCCGACACGGCAGCTTGCGGCGGGGCGGATGATTTAAAAGCCCAACGCGGACCGAGGTGGGGGGGGGGGGGGAGGAGGGCAAATTAATCGCGAGTCCGCCGCGCAATCTGGTTCGTGTTGCGGGAAACCCTCCGCTTCGCTTTTGCCATTTCGACATGCGGCTCACGCTAAATCAACGAGAGCGGCACGCGGGGGCCCCTGGGGCGCCGCGTCCAAAACGCGATCTCGCAAAACTTTCTCCGCTCCCCCCCCCCTCCACCCGGCAAAATAAACGAGGCGTCATGCTCTTGCGGCGGTGCGCGCTTGAGATCGATCGAGCGATGTTAATGCCGGTTTGGGGGTAGCCGATTGGCTGATGGGACTAACATGCATTTTTAAACGTGGAGGCACAGAAGAGAGTTCTGCTTATATAGATTTGGTTTGACCCATAATGCTCCATTGGCTAGTTAGATTATTTTGCTGCTATGAAATGTCCAAATGATAAGCCTCTTTTGTTGGGCTGTCATTTTTGTGGCCAGGTCGCGTTTGAAAAAATGTATTAATTAGCTCAGTGGGCTTTGTCTTGTAGGATGGGAATGGTTTAGTTGTTGTATTTGTTTGTGTTTAGGTGAATTGTTGACCTTTCTTGTACTTTGCACTACTATCCTGTTTTTGTACTGTTGCTATTACCTGCCCAGACTGGACATCTGTGAAAAAAATCTTTATGGCTCATCGGATTCCTTCAGTATAAATAAACATTCTGATTCTGATTCTGAAAGTGTTTGTGTAGGGGTTTTGCTTTTTGCATCGAACGGGGTCCCGTATTTTATACCGAGCGCTCTCGCCAATGACAATCCGGCAATTCAGGAGCATTAGCTTTCTAACAAAACTAACGCGCCTAATGAAACCATTTTCTTGCTTGATAATATTGATAATATGAATCTGGCATGCCAATAGGCTGAAGGACTAAATATATTTTTACAAGTCGTGCTCTTCTTATATTTGCCTTCCAGCGATTTTAGGCAAAGTCAGTGGACCACAAAGAGATGCAGGTTGCATATAATAAACACGATTAACCCAACAATGCTCGTGAAGAGAGAAAGCAGCGCAGGGAGTTGCTCCCTACTGGACTAGCTCAGCAAAATGTTGCATTTAGTCTGGAGGCCAGAGTAGAAATTTGTACCACCTAAAAAGGTGTTTATTCCTACCCATGTATTTATACAGCTAATCAAGAGAGAATTACTTGATAACCACTCATTTCAAACGGTTCTCAAATAACTCACTTTTATTGGCCACATTAATAAATATTTGGTCTGGGCCCAGGGACTAATTATCCCCTCAGATACATGCGTTTTCTCCAAACCCTCTAGATTCCTCTGGAAAGAAACCAGAACCGTAGTTCTCAATAAAGTGAAAAGGACTAACATCTTTGGTGGGTAAACAAATACATTATCATCATTACATTATTCTCTGCTACGCTCGGTGGTAATCATCCGTCTCGAAGCTAAATATATTCACCAGCCAGGGCCAAGGGAGGTTCAGCGGAGCTCCACAAGGCAACGTTCTGTTTCATCATCAAGTGCATTGCTCACTTCACGTCTCTGAGCCGCAACTGACGAAGTCAGGTCTATCTGTTTGTACTTTGTGTACGCACGTGCGTTGAAGCTCCATCGCACGGTATGTAGCCAACCGTGCTAATTGGAGGTGCGGGGGAAGGACAACAAACTAAAAACAAAAAGCAGTTTTGAAGAAATTCGTTTTTAAATCTAGATTAAAAAGTGCATAGCTCCAGTGGCTTCCTAATATCGACAGAGCATTCCAGACGGCCGCAGAAGCGCATCTGAAAGCGCGCGATGCGATGACCACCGTCTTTGTTCGACGGTTCGTCAGAAACTGCTGCTGCGAGGACGACCGGTTTGGCGTGATGGTTTACACTGCTTGACATTTAACGATACCTCAAGAGACCACGCGTCGAGTGTGAATCACCTGCTCGAGCTTGGCTCAACACACGCCGTCCGCCCCACGGCCTGCACGGCATGTTACAGGTCCGGGCGGGTGGCAGCCGGAAAGGGGGGGGGGCAACGCCAAACGCAGCCCCCTGCATCTGCCGCTGGAGCCAAGCGGCCTAACCGCTCCCCGCCTCCCCCCCCCCCCCTCTCTCTCTCTCTCTCCCAAGAGCGCCGAGGGGGCGACACTCACCCGTTGAGATCCTCCTTGGTCTCGGCGCGGATGAAGTACTCGCGGTCGGGCGTGGCGATGCACAGCGAGTTCTTCTGCCCCGTGCGGCTCTCGGCCTCCACCACCTCCGTGGCCTGGTTCATGTTGATGGTGCCCTGGGGCAGCGTGCTCGTCTGCGGGTCGACAAAATCGCGGGGAAAGCCGGGTTTAGACGCTTTGCAGCGCGCCAAGACGTTTAGAAACTCAACTCAAGCTCTCCGATGGGTTTTTTGGGTCATTAACCACGCGCGTCGCTCGGCGCGATATTCGGACGTTTCGCTCCGCGCGCTGCTTCAGGGAAGCTTCTTCGGGAACTGAACCGAATTGAAGAAGCAGCTGCCAGTACGTGGAGCGAAACCTCGGTAAAGTCGCGCCGAACAAGCACGCGGTACGGCACCGAAAACGCGTCGGGAGACGCCCCACGACAGCACAACCGCGGAAAAAACCTACGCGGTAAAAAAGAATTACACATTTTGACACCCGCTCATTCATGAAGCCTGTCTCAATTGCAGGCTCAGCCAGCGGCAGCCTTCGTGGGGCGGCAGAAATCCCAAGACGAACCTACACAGACAGGGGCCTTTGAGGCAGCCTAAAAGACACAGTCCATCGTGGTCAGGTGGTCGTGTAGGTAAACAATTGCCCAAACCGTTCCCGTCACAAAAACACACGCAGTTCACCATATAACGGTTAAGAATAATAATACTTTCATTTTATATCGCATCATTCATCATTTTAGAACGCTGTACATTAAGGACCAAATCCCATATACAGCCATTGTCAAGTAAATGAAAACCCTAGCACCATGAAAATAATCTAAAATTAATAAACAAATTAGGTTAATTACACCAAAGGGTATTGCTGCAGCCTAATCTAAACAACACCGCCACTTTTTGACAGGCTTTTTTGCTCGCTCCATTTTATGACGCGCCTAACGTTGTGTGTACACGAGCGGCAGAGGGGGCCGTGCCCCTGGTCACGTCTCGCAGGCGCCCCATCGGCTTTCACAGCGAGGGGGAAAGGGGGGGAAGCGCCTCCAAAACAAGCCTGGCCACAGAGCACAATCTCTCCCGCAAGCCTCCCGGGCAGGTTGTGTGCCCCTCCCGCACGCCTCCAGTAGGTTTGGTGCGCCGTTAGCAACGAGCAGCCCCTCGACGCGACGACGAATTATTACCCTCGCCCTGACCTCAACCACGAAGGAAGCTACACGTTCGTGACAGATTATGATAATTTTCGATGGGCCATGTCGTTCTCCAGCATGGCCGAGCGGCCTCAAAGTTGATGTAACTTGGACCCTCGTGGCTTGCATGGCAATTGAATTTGGGGGGGGGAGGTGGGGGAGTGGGGCGGGGGGCAGGAAGAGTGCGGGTGTTCAAAATTTATTTCACCAGATGAGAACTCAAGGGGACCAGGGATAGTCTCGTTTGTACGAGTGGCCCTGGGTCACCGAAATTTCAAAAGCAAAACAAATTAAATTGCAGCGATGACGCGAAGAGGAATCGAGAGAAAAATGGTAATGGGGGCGTTGTAATTAAACGGGGACGTGCCGTTGCTTTACATGACATTTGCATCGATGAGATTCTCATGATTAAATAAACACAAACATTCACTGCAGATGAGAAATGCGAATGGGTAATCCTGCAATTTAATACGAATAATTGCTCAACTCAAAGATGTTTGCTACATCATCAACGCATTAAAAAGCACCGTGTGTGTGGTTCAGATTAAAGGTTCAATCTGAAACATAAAATATACATCATCTGAGCAACGGTATGAGTTTCCTTCAGACAGCTTTGCATCTTAATGCGGGCGAGCCTTAGCATTATACAGTTACACAATATTCATTATTCAGCTGGAGGACCAGCTGACCGTACTTCATACATTATTCATGCGGTATACATGAGGGATACGATACGTACAAGGTTAGAATTGATAACCTCGTGGCTTAGAGCCAAAGAACAACAAACAAACGGCCGATTGCATTTTCAGGAACTTTTCACACTGCTGCGAGGTACGATATGCTCCACAGCGTGTAGTTTCATGCGGCGGCGGCAGCAGCAGCCCAAGGTACATACAATTTCTCTTCGATGAAACCGTCACCACAGAGGAAACGTTCAACCTACTTCCATTACATAACCGTATAACGCAAGAATGTCAATGTTGGAGGGGCACACGCGGAGAACGAATCTCGAGTACAGGGACTTCTCTACTTACGGACATTCGACTGACTAACTTTCAGAGATAAGAACAAATCTGATCCCTATGTCCAGTTGCCTGTTCGGACCGAGAGCCGTAAGTTCAACCCCCGTGCAATATAGATTGCGGTGGTGGCATCTGCATCTGCAGAACGTGAAGAACCAGCGGCATCTACATGAGATTATACAACTTTTAAAGCCTTTCCCCGTGTTTAATGTACACGCCGCATAACACGTTTGGAATCAGCAGGAGTAAAGTTGGACTTACGAACAAATCGACTTACGCACAGACCTCTGGAACCTAACTCGTTCGTAAGTAGAGGAGTCAATGTACGTACGCAACGGAGGGATGGTTACCAACGAAAGGCGGACCCGCGCGGGGGGAGGGGCGGGGAAGACGAGAACAAACCTCCAAAGTGAATGTACGGATACCCGAGAATAAAAAAAAATAACAATAATCCGCCCCCGTGGAAGGAACACAAACGCTTGCGTCCCACAGGAAGTCCTGACCCGTGCTGCACCTGTGTACGCGGCATAGGCATTCTTTTTGGTGTGAGCGGCGCGTCTGGGGAGCGGCAAGGTGGTTTTATGAATAGCGCCGCTACAGAGGGACGGACAACGCTACAATTTGGTCGACAGCGTCGTGATTTGCCCACTCTCTCTCTCTCTCTATAACCGCCTGCGCCAGGTGTGGTCTACCAACATTATTATCATGCAGGCAGTCTCCATGCCAGGGATATAGCCTTGGGTAAGCCTTGCTACACACGCATGTGTTTTAACGTAACTGTTCGCGGAAGTTTGTGTTGCTGTTGCAGAGTTATACTGAATCCGAATATTTATTCATACGGGAGGAATCTGATGAGCCATGAAGCTAATTTTCACAGATATCCAGTGCTGTCCTTCCCCCGCACCTCTGATTACCACGGCTGACTACGTACGGTGCGAAAGAAGTTCAACATATGTACATGCTGCTTTCACAGCGATGACTAACAAAGGTGGAATGCTGTCCCACGCATTCATCGATTAATGTTGATTTTGAAGCTTGCAACGTACACGTTGAATCGCGGGTGTCAGAACTGACAAAAAAAGAGCTTCATAGCTCATCGGATTCCTTCAGCCTATATTCATATTCTGATTCTGTATGCTATGGGTTCATGTGATGCCTGCAGCCACCAGAGACGTGTGAACCCTTCACAACAATATAAAAAAAAATACTTCTTGGTTCTTTCGGTAAAATCACGTTGAAGGGAAATAATAAAATAATAAAAATAAAACACAAGAAGATGAATCCCTGCAGTCACGAAAGCTTTAAATCGAAATATATTTTTTTAACCCAATTCTTGAAATTACTTTCACAACCTTCGACCGTGGACATTCACTGAATCGCTCAAGGGGAGGGGGGGGGGTGGTGAGGGTGTTCATCATTCCACCCCTTATAAGCAATGGAATTCAACACAAGAAGAACATTTCCTAATTCCAGGCCCGCATTTAGTATTGTAGTGAACGCGAGTGATTGTGCCTACACTTGCCAGTGTGCGTCAAAAAAACGAAAATGAAAGCACTCACATTGAAATGTGCACCACAATCACCTTCCCCCCCATCCCTGCCCCCACCCTGTTGCTAAGAGCCCAAAGTGAAGCGGCTTCAATGGATTCACTTCTTACCGCAGACTTCTGTCGACCCTGCCCATGACCCTGCCCATGACCCCCCCCCCACCACCAGCCTCGCTGGGTTCATGTCAACACTTATCCCAGCATCTCCATTCACTCTGACAGCTCCCACGAGGCACGCAGAACATGTGCATGGGCACTAAAGCTACCCCCCCTGACATTTTAGACATGTGTATCCAGTGACCCTATATCACTTGAAACGTCCACTTAACGATCCGGCATCCGCTGCAAACTTTCATCAAGGCCAGGGAACTAACGCGCTGGATCCGTGGTCGAGAAAACCCCGACACAAATGCGGCCGTGGATGTGCCCGCGATCCAGGCGCGGGTTTTTCTCTGCGGCCCGTGCATTAGAAAGGCCCTCGGCACGGCGCGCGCTGTGACAACCCGCCCGTGCTTGCATTGAAATGAAATATCAGCGGAGCGCAGCCAAAACGTTAAGAGAGAAATTAATTATTCAAACGCAGAACCACCTAAGGTCGCTTTACACTACGGCGTGTCCATTTGCTAAGAGGGGTGGGAGACTCCTCGCGCCAGCGTAAGTGTGCAACGAAACCTAGCACGTTAGCGAGCATTATATACAGCGGCTCACATCACCGCGAAACGCACCTGATCCAACAGCGTCGTGCTAAATGGCAAGCATACATTACGGCACAATGAGCTCGCTCGGCCCAGAGGGAGGGAGGGAGAGAGAGAGAGAGCGCGCGTCTTGAGACAGGGCAGGATTCTCTACCGCCCACAACCGCCGCGTACAGAAAATCCCAGGGCCGCACACTAAGCCGGGCTTATTAGACGGACTTCAAACGCGCACGCCACAAAGGGCCCTTTCTTGTTCTCCTCCTCTTGCCCAGGCCACCAGTGGAAGTCTTCCGGATTTCAAGTTCTAATTAATGTCACAATACCTGGCCCCGCAACTGTCAAACGGCGGGCAGGGGGAAGATAAAAACCGTCTTATTAAAAGCTTGACGGCAGGCATCCTTATTTTATTTTTATTACAACTCAACGCGAGCCCGATACAAGACGTTGATCACAGAACTGGGAAAGGTGGGTGGGAGCAAAAACTCCGCGAACGGCGACCGGATTTTGGCGCGGGCAAGTGCCCCAACGAAGGGAGGCAAAGATTTGGCTCGCTGCCCCACCGTGGTGGGGACCACGTAACGGTAGGGAGGGGAAGGGAGTGAAGATTTCCATGGGGGGAGGGGAAAGAGGTAAGATAACTAACATAGTGGGGGAAGGAACGGGGGGGGGCCGTGACGGCTGCCATCCTTTTGAC